ACAATTTAGTACCTATACAATATTATAATAATTTCTTCAAAATGTAAATGTTGAATATATTAGAATTAAAATTTACTTTTAAATTAAATAATAATTTATAGATTTCTTGATATTAATTATATTTAATATATTTTGTCGTGATGTCAGCACGATAAAACATATTATAATTCCACAAGCTTCAAATTAATATATTATAAATATACACATTATATAGGCTCTGGGGGGGGGGGATATATCCCCCTCATCCCCCCCTTAATTACGCCCCTGATTGAGATTATTCTCTTTTGAAACAGGGTATATTTATATTGCTTATAATATATTAAATATTAATTTTGTTTTTAAATACATATGTTTGCAGTTTTTAGTTTACTATATATTACTATTTTTTACAATGTCAAAATATATAGTTGTATAATCAAAGGATAAATTTTAAAAAGAATAACTATTAAAATCAAAAATATAATACCTAGTTTTTATTTTTCAGCTCAAGGCGTGATATTATTCATGATCTTGGACCAATGATTTGGCATACGACAGGCACTATAGCAGCATTATTGTTTGAAATTGTGTCTACTTATCAGTTTGTTAACCCTCCGACTATGTCGCTTCAACAAGTGACACGACTTTGCAATGCTCTGGCACTCTTACAGTGTGTAGGTGCTCACCCTGATACACGTTCTCAGTTCCTTAAGGCCCAAATACCTCTTTATATGTATCCATTCCTACATAATGCCAACAAATGTCGTAATTTTGAACATCTAAGACTTACAAGTTTGGGCGTGATTGGTGCTTTAGTAAAGGTAAATATTGAATGATTTAAAAACCATGTTTATTTTATATTTAGTTATCTACCTAATGTATATTAGATATTTATAAAATATTTACTTTACTTGGTATATATTCTAATACAGAAACTGATGACGGGTTAAAAAAGCCCTAAACTAAAAAAATATATTTATATTTTTCAGACAGAAGAACAAGAAGTTATCACCTTCCTTCTGACAACTGAAATTATTCCGCTGTGTCTACGTATTATGGAAACTGGTTTTGAATTAACTAAAACACTATCAACTTTTATACTGCAAAAAATACTTATGGATGACAATGGTTTAAGTTACATTTGTCAAACATATGATAGGTTTTCTCATGTTGCCCTCATACTTGTAAGTATTTGTACCACAAAAACAACAAAAATTCTCATTATTTTTTCATTGAATTTTCAGGGGAAAATGGTCTTAGCACTTGAAAGAGAACCATCTACTAGACTACTGAGACATGTTGTGGGATGTTATGTTCGTTTGTCAGAGAACTCAAGGTATAAAAATTACTATATATTTTCAATCATAAATTATCTAGATAAAATAAAATTGTTTAAAGATTAACATTGGTGTGCAACTTATCATATACTACTATAGGTCCAATATTCGAGAGCATGTTCTATGTTTTTCATAGAATCAATTTACATGATGTCTAGTACACATAAATCCTGAAAGGTTAGCTTATTATATCCCAAAAATATTTTTCTATAGGTGTGAATTAGAGGCTAATAATATAAGTCCTTCATCAAAATAAGATCCCAATAAATCCAGAATTGACTTAACTCTTATAGTTCAAGATGGATGAGTAGTATTATGTTCAGTATGTAGGTTATAATATAGTTTGTGTTTGTAATTTAACATCCATAACCTAATAAATTTAAAAATTAATACAATATTTGTTTTCAGAGCTCGTGAAGCACTTCGGCAATGTTTACCTGATCAATTAAAAGATATGTCAACTTTTGCAGACTGTCTCGCCAGAGACCAGACGATTGCTGCTTGGTTACTACTGTTGAAAAATAATTTGGAGTCTGTTATGCCTATTGATGTATCTCCTGGTGTTCCATCTCTAGTCAAGCCATAATATAATAGCATTTAAAATATTTACAATTCAAACAAAAATCACAGTCATTTTGATTATCATATCAATTTGATATTAGTTAGTAGCGAATGACAATGTACTTATCTCTCGACATTTATGTGTTAATTGGGTGGGAAGGGGATTAAATAATATTAATAAAGTAACTTGAGTCTGACTTATTATTATTTTTAATAATTATTATTATTATTTAGTTTTATACTATAATTTTACTCTTTGTTAAATATTATTATATTAATTATCTTAATCATCTGATTTTGCATTTTAAAAGATATTAATTTGATTATTGTTTGGTCTAACTACATATATTTTTAAAAATAGATAAATATTGTCGATCGTTGGTTGGCTTTTAATTTGTAATATTAAAAAAATTACTATAGGTATTACCTATGATTAAAAAATTAAATTGTAAGTATCTGGTATAAGATAATTTAGTATAGTTTAAAAACGTCAAAAATTCTTTGGAAAACATTTAAATAGTTTTGTGTGTAGGTAGAGCTAAAGAAATATTTCAAAAGCTTGATCTCAATAGTTAAAGATAAAAACCTTAGATAATTATTGTTTATAGTTTATATTAACCCTTTAGGTAAGACCAGAATGGTCCAACCTTTTATAATTGGCGGGCCAATTTATACAAGTGGAGCCGCTAAAATAAAAAATATATATTTATTTTATTTTATAACAAACACATTATAATAATATAATATAATACACAAGTTGTATAACATTATATAATATGTATAGATTAATAATACTGCTACACCATCTTCCACCTACATAGTTTTTTTTTTATTCATCACATTTAATAAATAATATATCTCTTCTAAGGAGGACCAAAAATAAAAGCTTGGAGGGCTTTGGTTTGGATTACCTTGGGTTAGATCATACTTTAAGATATTCTATACATCTGGATAATATTGATAATCAAAAAATCTGGGGTTGATTACTTTTGAATTTTGTGTATTGCACCATCCATCCCACCTAACAGACTAATAGTATTTTTCAATAGCATTAAGTCTGAAAATAATAATTACAAAAATCCAAACAATAAATAATTTTACTGTTACTATCAAATGAATTAGTCTAAATTTGTAACTTGTTTTTTTTTTTTTGAAAGTTTGTAAGACAAACAATGCATCTAAATACAAATTCATATATTTTTAAAAAGTGTAGGATATAATTTAGCTGATACAAACCAACATTTTAACAGTAAGCTACTTAATTTTATGAATGTCACATGAATAAAACAATATATTTTACTTCTAGGATTAATACAATTTTTTTTAATAATACAAAATAATTATATTTAATAATTTGTAATCAGTCATGTATATTTGCTTAGTAATACATCTGATTGGATTAACTAATTAACCTAATTATTGAAGTATAATAAAGACAGTTGTCATAATAATATTATAGTAACCTATGGGGAAGGTCTTACCGTTAAACACATCCTTTTACACAACCGCAACTACGCCGATGCCAGATCATCTCTTAACATTATGGATCATCTATATGAAACACTTGGACCCAGTCTTGAAAACTACAACATTATAACATTTCTACAAAGAACTAAACTTTACAACTTTATAATATTACATTATAATGTATCAATATACATATCTTTATTAATGTTAATGTTAGCCAATAACCTTAGTTATTGAGGCTTTAATAAATAAATAAAAGATATGTATATATATATGTAATATAGGTGGGTAGTATTTGAATTATAAATTATTTGCATAGGCCAGTGAAGCTAGTTATGATGCTGAGGCGACATAAATATTTTATATATAACACCGCCAGACACAAAATTGCAGGCAGTACCGCTGTCGCTGAGTGATTTGGTGAGGACGTAAATACGACGATTGAACAAGTGATTCGGCGATCGTAATACAGGCTAGGCATTCAGAATTTGATAGTGTTTTATTTATGTTTGTTTTAAAAAATAATAAAAGTGTTTCCGACCTGAAAACACTGAGTTGAATATTATTTCAAGTCTCTTTCATTCTTACCTTTTACATTGGAACAGTGTTCAGATACACAAACCTATAGTCAATTTAGTTTATGAGAATTGTGTAGCGCTAGGGATGTGGATCCTAATATTTATTTGCAATTGTAGAGAACGCATAGTAGATTCACTGAGTATCTGTAGGACATATCATACGGGTGATACTACATAACTAAAAAGTTTTCTGATTTCTAATTAAAATGACAAAAAAAAATGTTTGTTAATGATCTATATTTTGCTTTGATAAAAAATAAGGCAATAGACCTAGAGTATAAAACACTAATTTCAATAATAAACTTAAGTAAAAAGTTGCCGGATCGAATCTCGGTCACGGGCGGCATCGATCTTTGAGCATTTTGCGGTGTCTGGAGAGAGAGGCCGCCGCCCCCCAACCGGGCATGGCAGAAACCTACGGGCGCCCATTCAAAAAAAACAAATATAAAAAAAAAAAAAATAAAATAAAACAATAAAATTCAAAAAAAACCCACGAGTTAAAACCTACAGTACCTTCCCCTACAGTTCCCAAGGCTAATGACCTCAGTTGTCAAAGCCCTAACCCTAAAAAAAATTTCATAATGGGTTAATTATTGTTCACATTAAAAATAATAGAGTAAAATAAATTATTCTAAATGTAAAATTAGCTGTGTTAAGTATTATTTAGGTAGAAACAATATGTCACCATAAAAATTTAATTCAAACTTTACTTTTCCACAATCTAGAACATTGACATTTTATTTTATATAATAAAATATAATTTACAATCATACTTTTAAAATTAATTATGTGTATTAAATAATTTTACTATTTTTGTACTTTCATACAAAACATAAAAAAATCATATGGATATGCTCTATTTATTAATGAATTATTATACATGACTTATTAGTTATTGTTTTAAAGACTGTTGTATTTGAGTATAGTTATCCCGTTTGGCTAATGGTTTGTATTTAGGATTGAGTGTATAGTAAATGAATAGCATAGCAGCTGACAATCTGATTACAGAGTCATTGTCTATATAATCTTTAATCCAATCCACACGTCCCCATTTTGTACACTATAATTTTAATGCAAAAGAATTACTATACACAAACACATATTTTTGGTTGTTAAATTTAATTTATACTTAAAAGTTACCTGGTATTCTTCTTCCATCTTAGACAATAGAACAGCATCTTTTACAGAAATATCTTGATGTAAACAACATGAAGTAAGCACTAATGATTTTAAAGTTTCAACAGCATGTAATACACCTTAAGTAAAGAAAATAATGTTTACAAAAATATAGATACTTAATAAGAAAACATAAGTATACTATACGAACCATGAAGTGCAGGGAATCCAAGCGATAAAAAATATTTTTCAACTAATKCCCTAGTCTTTTCATCAAGACTTTCAACATAAATACCTTTGGATGGTTTTAAATTGGTGTCAAAATATCCATTAAATCTCTGAATTAGTGGCATCCATTTTTCCATCAATACTTTCTCTAGCTCATGATCGGCCTATTCAAGCAATTTCGATTTTAAAATAATAAGCAAGAAATCCAAATGATAAACAGTTTATTACATCAGAAATAAAAAAGACTGTATCAGTCTCTAGATAAGACAATATTTGTTGTACTACTTCATGTTCTGAAAGACCACTAGGATTGTCGACTGCCAAAAAACACAGCTTTGTCTAATAAAAATAAACATAATTATAAAAGATATTTGAAACATTATATTTTACATTAATATACCAAGTGCATAGGATCTGTTTTTATATGTTCTTTCTGCATTTCCCATTCTTCAGCAACAGCAAGAGCCAAAGCTTTATTATTTATTATAAGCTCTTTACCTAATGGTGTTTTTAATTTGCTATTATCAAGTAATACTCCATAAGAGTCTTTATTTTCAATAATTGAAGTGGTTTTATAAAATTTATCTAAAAATTAAATTAAATATTAAAATATAAAATATATATAAAAAATATATATATATATAAAATTAAAATTAAATAACATACATATAATAATTATAATAGTATATTAATAATATAGTGAGATTCGCAAAAAATTATTTTTGCCTCCACGTAAAAAGAGTCCAAGCACCCAAATCTAATTTTTTTGTTTAAAAATTGGAAATAATAATGAATACCATAATATCCATAGGTCAGAGGTGGCAAACCTTTTTTGGTTTAGTGCCAAATTTTTGCAAACAAGGGTTGGAAAATTTTCCAAGTGCCCAAAGTTTGTAAACATAATAAATATAGTGATAATATAGCATCATAATTATTAATTTTACACATGGGAATATGATAACTTTAAAAATGTCTATAATTTATTTATTCGAATTTTTTACAAATAAAATTTTAAGAATATCATAATTTTTTGTGTACCATTGTAATTTAACAAACGTATCACATTTGGCACGCCTGTCATGGGTTTGCCACCCTTGCCATAAGAACTCATTTAAAAAACATTGATTTTGACAACATTGTTGCTTAGTTAATGCATAATATTGCTAAAAACGATAAGAGCTCAGATATCAGAGTAAAGTAAACATATTATAGATTTATATTTTATTATTAATTAGAAATATAACGATTATGCCGAGTTATAAAATACTACAAATAATTTTTTTTGTACTACAAACTAAATACAATTTATGACATTAGTTTTATCTAAAATTAAAAATAAATTAAATTTTGTACACTTCATGACAAAATAGAGGTTCTATTTTTTTTTTTATCAGAATTGTTCACAGTAAACAAATATGTTTTATATATTTTAATAATACTGGCAGCATTTTCAAATATGAAACACAACTTAAATGGCATTATAAATTAAATTATGTATCATGAAATGGCCATTGGACTTGTTTTTATTAAGTTTATACTCGAGTTTATATAAGATTTTTTGTAAAAATAATGAAACTTTTTCACATATATTTATACTTCTATAGTAAAATTGTTTCTAATTAAAAAAATTGTCTTGTAATTTATGTACKAATTAATTTAACTATTGTTTGAAACTATTAGCAATTAATATATAAATACTTATAGCTTTTTCTAAAATATTGTCAAAAGAAGTATCAATCACCATAAACAATATACAAAAAGTATAACTTATTCAATTTATTTGGTGATTATAGTTGATTAGTTTTTTAAAATTTATTATCTGATATTGACATAAAATCAAAACCTATGTACCTCTAGCAGGTATCTAATAAATTAAAATATTAATTTTATTAACTCACTGATAGCATAAGACCTGCTGGTAAATGATGGAATTTGCATGACATTATAAAATTTATATTTTATCTGGATTTGGTTTCTTGCTATAGGTTTTAAACACCGTACAATTTGGAACATTTCAATTTTAAATCTGAAATATTAATCACAGGTATGATTAAAAATATTAGGGCTTAGTAATAATAATATAATTAACATTAAATTATTATTAATTCCAAATGTCAATGATTTAAAGCAACTAAATTTCGTATTTCTTAAACATAATAAAATATAAATTTCCCTAAATTAATCAAATTTGAGCATTTGACTACTATAAAACATTGACAAGACCAAAATGAAAATAAATTAAAGTTTTAGCAGCAGGAAATGCGTGTACCTTTTAAGTATGTATTTGCTATTATTAGAGTGATGCAGCGAGAAATGTAATGGATTTTAACTTAAACTAAAATAAAATACAATTTAGATACAAAAAATAACAGTTACCAACAGCATTAAAATGTTTAATAAAATAAACTTAATGAAGTAGTAAGTACTAAAAATTACATATTGTATTTTATATTTTTATATCTAAATATTGTATGTCTGTGATAGCTCTTGATAAGTGATAAGTGATAACATATTTCCAATTCTCAAAGAGCACAGATGTCTACAACGAGTGTGAAGTTGGGTGACCAAAGATAGGTGACTGTGAATAGTGATAAGAAACCTTGTATGTGTTGCTGCATTATGTATTATTCCAGGCGCCAAACATTTACATTGCCATTTGTAAGTCACATCACTATTCACTGTTATTAAACACAACATGGCGCAGCTATATTGCTAATTTTTCGAAATCAATTAGTGACGTCAAGTAGCCAGTAATGGCGGCGCCAGAATTTTAATGCCAGGTTTTTTTCTTTGAGTTCCCAGGAGAGTCGAAGAACTTAACCTACATACGCGGAAAGCCAAGAAAATTTCCCATCAGATGTATATATTTAAAAAGGACTCATAGGTTATTGGGAAAATGAAAACGGCGTACCAACACGCCAGGTGACTGTTTTCCGTACGTACGACGCGTAATCGGGTAGTCATGCGTAGTTTTTAATWTTTTTCGGTCAGAATATAAATTATTTAAAATATCTTTTTTCGAAGCCCCTAGTATAAAGGCTCAAATTTATCTTCGTTCATGATTATTCTCAAGTAAGTTGGTAATTACTTTTAAAATTGAAAACGAGCGCTCGTAAATAAATTATGACGACGTACAATAACTAACGAAGGCACGGCAAATTATACTGTCGTAAACCCAGTTTCAATTGCACCTATTTTATACTAATACATGACTTTTTCTCCCTGACTCGAAGGGTCCACACAGCGATAACATTAAATGTTATGATTGAAACTGTCAGATGGTAAATTAATTGAATAATATTCTTAATTTTTAATTTTTTTTTAAATATTGCAAATTTTTGCAATAATAATGCTGACAATTTTTCATAATTTATTGTTAAATGTTAAATAAGTTCTATTAGAATATTTATCTTATTTTAATTTAGGCTTCAATGCTTTCAGGCGTAGATTTTATAGGTATAGCTCCGGTCTTTGTCGCTCCGAAATATACGCGTAGTCAGACGACAGACTYAATACTCAATAGTCAATTGAAAAATAAGGAATAACCAAATTTCATAATCGTAATATAAAAATAATCATAATCATAAATCTAGTTGGAACCGTATATTTATCATTTCACAWCATATTAAACATTGCAATCATTCTATTTTTATTATTCTTGGCCACATGAAAGGTATTGAATATTCCTGTGGCTTTTAATACGTGTATAAATATATACATTGTTATAAATAAAATATATTACTTTACGATGTCTTTCGGTACCARTGTTATCGTCGAGGATCATGAGGGGCCATGTAAAAAATCAACTATTAAATCCAAAACCAATACTTTGTCTACAATTTACTTAGTTATTTTAATATTAATAATATTTAATACACTGAAATCAACATAACTAGTTTACATAGGTACATCAATACATTTTATAAACTTACATAAAAACAGTTAATATAACAAATTTTTATGCCATTTTGTAATTACACAATATTMAGGGCTCATTTTCTTACAACGTCCTAAGCTACTAGAGGGTAATCTGTGTTTTAAATTTCAAAACTTTATATTAAGAGTAAACAGAGATATATGTGTTAGAAAAACCGGGCTATTATTACAATTACACTATTACAATTAGAATATAAAGTATACTCTAGAAATTTAAAGTACTCACATATAAAATTTTTAAATTACTATACAACCAAAATTTTCATTCTTGGTCATTTAATATGTTTTTATATTATATGTAATAATTTTCATACAAATTCATAATCCCAGGTTACTGTTTTCCGTATATGATCGCATAATGGGTATACCGGCGCGTGGTTTTTATTTTTTTTGGCAAAGTTCCCGGGGGAGTCGAAGGACTTAACATAGATATTCGAAAAGCCAGGGAAATTTACTATAAGACGGTATAAAAATCGACAACTCAGGTTCGACATCATTGTAAATGTGTTCACAATGTAATTTTGTACAATAATAAGTTGAATTTTAATTATAACTTGAATGTGGTAACTGTATAGCTAAATTGTGGTGGTCGATATAACAGGCGAGTACCAATTTATATATTTAAACTGGATTCTATTTAAATAATAATAATAGATCGTCGGCCGTCGGGATCGAGTATTGCTATATAGAATGGATCAATCTAATAATATAATAAAATGTGATATTATAATATATCGATCGACAATCGACGGCCGGAATTTATTGACGAATAGTTTTAAATATAAATTATACAACAATAAATACTTTATACATATTATTATCCCGAATGCGGGAAATTGTCAAAGTTTAGTGTGTACGTTCGCCGCTAGGATACATATTTGTTGGCGGCAAAACTCTATTAATGTGTTATGCCTAGAACTGCTGCTGTGTCATTCTAATTCCACAATTATATTAGAGTATTAGACCATACACAGTACTATATAGTACCTACTATCGACGTAAGTACAATATTAATAACTATTTCTAGTATTTTATCAGACTTGTAAAGTACTTGAGTAAAAGTGATCAAATACTTTTAAGTACTCAAATACGTATTCTAATAATAGGTACATTTGGAAAAAGTACTTGGGTACATGGGCGCAACTAGGGGGGGGGGCTTGGGAGTGCTTAGCACTCCCAAAATCAAAATTAGCATTCCCAAATTTTCTGTACTGATTTTTTACATTATCGGTGACAGTAACACTTCTGATTTTAAAACAAGGGGGGGGGGTTCTCGTATTGTGCTTTAGATTTTAGCACTCCCATAAATTTTACCCTAGTTGCGCCCATCCTTGGGTATAGTATTTGAATACTTTTTTGAAGGTATCTGTATTTAAAATCAAATACTATTTTTAAATACTTTTTTCACTTTTTAATTATTCTAACTTAATTATTCYTATTCTAATTAATTTMAGTAAAATTAGAGTTCTAAAATAAAAATAATAATTTAGTTGATTAATAAATAATAATCCAAATATCCAATTTATCTATAAGGTCATTAGGTCAAGGAAAAAAGATAAAACATATTTTAAAAAATTAAAAAGTATTTGAAAGTATCTGTAAATACTTTTTAAAAGTATTTGTATTTGTACTTAAATACTTTTTTTTTCAAGTATTCAAATACATATTTTAAATACTTTTGGAAAAAAGTATCTGTATCTGTACTTGAATACTTTTTAAAAGTATCTTTTACAAGACTGTATTTTATATATTTAAATATTTTACGTATCTTTATACACAAGTTCAATTTTAAAGTGGTGTAATGACTGTATTTAATTTGGCACCTAATATCAATATTACCTAATAATACCTAATATTTTTTTAGTGTGACCTTTTTATAGTTGTATATAAAGAAAATTAATTTGACGAAATGAACTGTCGAGTAAAATGTCTATAAATTTGGGTGGTTAGTATTTTTATTGATTTATCCACGTAAATGGGTATGGTTTGGGTTTTCCTTTGATAGTTGGAGGGGTATGGATTTTTCCTAGAAGTCGAATATGGTCGTGATCTGAGAAGAAACTTTTGTAAAACATTGATTTGGATTGATACTGAATAGAGGTTTGGATGGATTTGAAGTTGGCAGATTTGAATTTTTAACGATAGTGGGAATACCTGTAGTTATTGTACGTAAACCAATAGTTTGGACGGATTCGATACGCTTCCACTGAGAGGGACATATGAAAGGACGTGTCCAGGAGGGGCCAGTATAGGTAAGAACGGGGGAGATGTATAGTTTGGTTGTTAGTGGAATGGGACATTTACGGTTTAGTATGGGGTAGAGTATACCGCGGGTGCGAGTGGCTTTTTTGATGATATTTTGGACGTGCTGACCGAAGTTTAGTTTGCGCCCAATTGTAACGCCTAGGTATTTTGCTTGTATTGACCAGTTAACAGCGTGATTGTCAAGTAGAGAAGGTGGTACGTTAGTTGTTTTAGAGCGACCAAATATGATGCCTACAGTTTTGGTTGGATTTATTTTAATACGCCATCGGTGGAACCAGGTGGTTGCTAGGTTGAGTTGGTGCTGTAATTGTATAGCCGCACGCYTGGGATTTTTGTTAGAGGTGAAGAACATAGTATCATCGGCGAAGATTGAGAGGTTGGTTTTTTGAGTCGTTGGTATGTCGTTGATGTAGGACAGATAGAGTTGGGGATAGACAGGAGCCTCGAGGAACTCCTGCGAGGATATTTTTGGAGGATGAGAATGAATCTTCGATTTTGGCAGTGAAAGTGCGATCAGTAAGAAAGGATTCGATGATTTTAACGATTTCAGTCGGAATTTTGAGTTGAGAGAGCTTGTAAAGGAGACCTTGGTGCCAGACTCGATCAAAGGCATTCTCAACATCAAGAAAGATGGCTGCGGCGTTTAGGTTGTTGTTAAAGTTCTGGCTGAGTTGATGGGTAAGTTTGGTTAGTTGTAGAGTAGTTGAGAGTTCAGGTCTGAAGGCAAATTGTTCTGGGTAGATTTTGTCACGGAGATTGTTTTGGAGGTGGGCGAGGATGAGACGTTCGTAGATTTTAGATAATGAGGATAGCAGCGCAATAGGTCGGTAATTTTTGGGGAAGTTTTTGGTCTTTGCCTGGTTTGGGAATGGAAAGATAACTGCTTTATTCCAGGCAAGCGGAAATTAGCAGATTCTGAAAGAGCTATTGATGATTTTCGTCAGGAATAATAAAATTTTGTTCGGTAGCAATTTAAGAGCCGTGTTGGTGATGAGATCGTCACCAGGGGCTTTCTTTTTGCGAAGATTGCTTATGAGATTTTGTATGGTGCCTGGGGTAGTGAATAGGTTAGAGTTAGTTATGTCGAGGTTTTGTAGTGAGTGGTAGTGATCCGTTACTTTTGGTAAGTCGGGGCCTGGGTTAGTTTGGAATTGGCTTTCGAGAGAATCGGCTATTAGTCCAGCGCGATATTTGGATGAT